GCTTCCTGCAGCGCCCCGCGAGCCGGGAGTTCCGGGACAAGCGGAGAGACCCGGGAGACCCGGGACTAGCGGCTTCGCCCGTGCCCACAGCCCGGCCCCGAGAGCCTGCGGGAAAGACGGAGGATGTTCTCCATGGGCATGCAGCGACAGGAGAAGGGGCAAAGGATTCAGAGTGAAACAGAAGTAGATTTAGGTAGGTTAGGAGGAGAAAGCTGGTTCCTGTAAGGGCAGTGAGACGCTGAACAGGTTGCCCAGAGAAGTTGTAGAATCCCCGCTCCTGGAAGTGTTCAAGGGCAGGCTGAATGGGGCTTTGAGCAGCCTAGTGTACTGGGAGGTGTCCCTGCCCTTGGAAGGCTGTTGGAACTAGAGGATCTTTAAGATCCCTTCCAACACAATTCTATGAATCTGTGAAATCCAGGTTGCATCTAGCAGGTTTGTTACAAAAAAACTGACATTCATACTGTTGTTTTTTTTTTTTTTTTTTTATTATTATTGCATCTGCATCTGAAAAAACATTCTACCTCTGCATGTTTATTTTATGTGTTTCTACCCTGTATACACCCCACTTCTATCCAACAACTTGGCAATTTCACCAAGCTGTACAGAAAACCTAGGTCCTGAATCCCTGGCAACTGAAGCTCCAGGAAGAGGAAGGATTTACATGAGGTTAGAGTACAGTGATACTACATCATATTTACTAAAAGGAAGAAAAACAACATGAATGCAGAAAGGCACCAACTCTTCAATAACCATCAACAAAACAAAGGAATTAATTCCTTCAGGTATTTTCAACTTTTTGAAATAACTCTCCACAGAAATAAAGAATATGATGAACATAGTTTAATTAAGAATTATAGCTGTAGTCACATATCTTAGAACATGAATTCAATCTTCCCACTGCATAAAGTTCTACATCCATACTTCCTACAACAAGGAAGGGAAAACATCTGATAGTCTTCAATACTTACATAATTTCTAAGATGAAAAATATTAGTGAAAACAGTATTCTTTTGGCATACTATGAAGGTAGTGCTTACTGCTTTTGGCAAGAGAAGGAATTATAAATAAAAATATTTGAATATTAGGGTAAGGGAAAAACTGTATCCAAAGTGTTTCACAGAATAATGCTTTCAAACATTACTTCAGCCCAATAGAAGCACAATAAATCCCCAAAGTTTTTATTTTGCCCTGAAAGGCATTTGAAGCAGGAGTGTTACTCAAACATGGCAGTTAACTACACACACATGGAAAAACACCTTTTAAAAACCCATTAACATTTATAGTGTTTGATTCCCTTATATACAGGCACACACTTTGCTAGCTTCTTTCCCTTCCTAGAACTTAATGAGACTGTGCAATACTGGAGCAGTAGTCTAAAATATCCTGTATAGTGAATTCCATAGTAATTCCTGATCCAGGGTAGCAGCGAGCTATCAGTCCTTCAAAGTGCTTGTACTGTCGTATGAATTCATCTTGCATGGAATGCCACACAACCTGCCAAAGAAAGCAAACTTTAGGAAAAGTCAACTGGCATAATACATAGGCTAACTAGAAAACATTGGTTCATTAATTGATTCTCACATTTCAGGTGTCATTTTACAGCTAAAGATTACTAATAAAGTTCAATAGATTGAGTTACTGTATTAAAAAGAAGATTGATGGTTTTTATCCATTAAGATCTGTAATGTTGACATGACATAATAAATGTGCAAAGAAGAAAATAGAAGATGGGGAAGTTCTCCTAACAGAGGTATTGCTTTTGCCTTTCAGGAAAGCACCCCGAACCAGAAGAGTGCTATAATTCACATTTCAGACTTTAAAAAGCTGTTTAAACAAGCTTAACTCAAGTCTACTTGTTATTTACTCCAGTGAAAAAGTTCACACAGTGTAAGGAAAACATTAGATAATACAACTATCAGAAAATAGATAACTGAAAATATTCTGCTATAGTGCACCAATTAAGATTCACATCAGGTTATCCATTAATTTAAATCTATTCTCTACTTCCAATGTATTTTGCAGAACAGACATCACCCATTAATGGTCAGCTAGGGAATCATAAAGTAGTTTCTTTCTGGACTTTTTTCTACTGCTCTCGTCCAAATCAGTATTAAACAAATAGAAACAGAGTATGCTTATTAAAAAAACCCAAAAGCTGTACTCAAAATTTATGTTTTTAGAGTTATGCTGAACATTCTCACAGAATACATATGCAAAAGCAGTAATAAAAAGCCTCTGTGTAACATTATAGGGTTTTTAAGACACGATTTAGTTTACCTGAAGTAAGTTTTCTTCTTCACAGAGATGTTTATCTACCTTCTTGTAGAGATTATCCAATCCCTTCTTCACTTCTTTACCAGGATATTCCTTTATAACTTTACGAAGCTCTTGTTTATTAAAAGCCAGCTGATAGCTTACTTCCTCTTCCCGTATACCTTGTGCCACACGAGCTTCAACACCTTCAAAAAAATGCTAACAAGTAATAGCATTAGTCACTATCACAAATCTGAGCATTTGACAAGAATATCTGTGGTTAAATCTTGATCTGGCTTAATGACTGTTGTGTTCTCCCAATTTTTGTTTCTTAATTGGGCATGAAGTACTGCTCAGCCATAAACATTAAAACACAGTTCAACAAGACAGCAGTCCAAGCACTAGAATAAAATTGAAACCAATCCTTTCTAGAAGCAATTGAGCTTTTCTTTGCAACCTTTTAACTAATAACCAGTCAGCCTCAAAATCCTCAATTCATGAGCTCATAACCAGGGATCCAAATACTGGATCTATTGGATGATCTCCCTAAGCACCTGAGCATCTTTTAAACCATAATTACACAAGAGCATATTTGTTCACAATTGCCCTCCCTTCTCACTGTCATTAGCCAGTTTTCTCAACATAGTAAATAAAAATGTTTTAGTAATAGAGGGAAGTATTTCTATGAACATGTAGGTTGAGCTCAACAGTGCATCAGGTCTGGGTAGGACAGAAGTAACTCCCTAGTTAACTTTCTTCACAGCAGCCTCTATGGTGCTGTGTTTTGGATTTGTGGCTAAAACTGGGCTGTTAACACAGCAATGTTTTGGTTACTGCTGAACAGGTCAAACCTGACCAAATCATAGCACATAACATCATGCTCAGCTATAAAAATTAGGGTTGGAGGAGGCAGGTTTGGTGTTTGGCTTCAAAGTGGCTTTGCTCAGAAACTGCCTGGGCATCAGTCTGCTTGTGAGAGGTAGTCAATGACTGGTTTTGTACCACTTACTTTATTTTTTTTCCCTCTATCTTTCTCTCTCCCCTTCTCTGATTAAACTGTCTTAACCTCCACCTCCAAGTTTTTTCACTTTTGCTCTTCCTGTTGTCCCCCCTGGAGAGGGGGGACTGAGCAGCAGTTTAGCTATGTGACATCTTAGATGTTGGTCAGAGTCAATCCAAAAGTGGAAACAGCAATAAAGCATTTTAATTTTCAAAACAGGAATACATCTTAAATGCCTCTGAAAATGGATGCCTGAAATCCTGTTTATAGAAAAAGCCATGAGACGTTCATGTGGACAGAACTGAATCTGAACCTAAGTCACCACTCAGTTTAACATTTAGTTCAACTTCAGATACACAGAATTTTCCTATAACTGTTCTTCTTGTTGAACAGCTCAGAAACTACAGCAATTTTCTCTGCAGTTGAGGTGAGAAAGATTATCCCCAAAATCCTGATGACTTTTCCCCTCACTTTCTTCTTCCTCAAAACCTTTTGCTTAAGACACTGATGTTTAGTCAGTACTATTAATTGCCATGAAAAATTTGGTTATTTTCATCCAAAACTGTTATCCTCATGAATACTCTTGCCAGACATATTCCAATCCAAAATAATAAGGGATTACGATAGATACAGTGATAAAGACATCAAACAGTTTTTGAATGTATTATTTCCACTATCCTTTACCATTTAAATGAATACTCAAATATACTCACATTTAATTTCTCAAGAGGCTGTCCAAGTGAGTAGATTACATAAGACTGAAGATGATCAGTGTATTTCTGTTTGGCTTCTTTTTTCTCAGCCTCCAGACAAGAAATTTTCAAGCGAGAAAGTGTTGCAAAAATATGATGGAAGTTCTCCATCATGACAACATCCCTGGGTGTCTTCTGGCTTTCATTAGCTACTTTCTCAACTAAAAGAAATGAAAAGCAAAATACTAAGAATACCAAAAGAACAAATTCAGAAAAACATAAGCAATAACCATAATACTATCAAAAAGGGAATTTTGAGTTTCATGTAACTCATTTAGTCAGAATTACCAGTAAATAAAATGCTATCTAAGAGCCTTCAAAGGAAGGAACAGATACATTCAGGCTCTAAGACAATGAAACTTGTATGGCAAAAAATGCACTTATAAAAAGATAAATGTATGATCTCATTTACAGGTGTGAGGAGCAGGTCACATTCTGAGGAGGCTTACAAGCATGCTTTCAGTATCCCTAATAAATTTCACAAGATAGAACTATTTAAGAGAAGTCAACAGCAAAATCAATTCCCATCTTCACTAGGACAAAAATCTTCAGTAAGGTAGCGGGGGGTTCTTAAATGTACTTCTTAATCTCAGTTTTTGCTTATTAGTTTTATGGTCAAAATTACCATCAGTCCCTAAATGTCATAATGAAAATAGATAATTTTGCACCTAGATCTTCTACTTCCCCCTCCCCCAAAAAAAAAAAAAAAAAAAAGCCCAAACCCAAAAAAAAA